TACTAATGGCACCGGCTTGGTGCCAAGCACAGGTACACCTGGACCACTCACCCTCCCTGCCCAGGCTCCAACAGGAGACCCCCAGCCACCTCCAAAGAGCTTCATGCTCTAGTCCAGGGACCCAACTCTTCTCTGGGAGCATTAGGCCAAGCCCCCCTCAACCACCCCCCAAAAACCAGGCAGCGGCCGTGGGGCTGTAGGAAGGACAGATGCCATAGGGCAACCACCCCCAGCACAGGCTCCTGCCTTTAAAAACCTACAATTTACATAAAACTGCCATTGTAAAACCTTCCCGCAGAGCAGCGCTGCGCGGGGAGCGGGGGATGAACCCACCCCAGGCAGAGCAAGACAAACCCTGAAGTCCAGATCCGGCAGGGACAGGTAGAGCCTGGGGGTGATGTGCCAGGGCAGCGGGCACTACCGGCAGGTGCAGGACTCTGCAATCATGTTCTCGTACTCCTTGTAGAGAATGCCACCGTCACGCTCGATCATGAGGACACTGATGGGGCTGTAGCGGTAGGGGACGCAGGAGGGTCGGGGCACGTTGGCATCCACCAGCTGATGGACAAAGCTCTGCACCACGGCGTGGTTGGGTGCGTGGTAGTCGTAGCGGAGCAAGCGGGGACAGATGCCCTTGCAGTAGCGTGGGTTGTAGCGGTGGGGAGCTATGATCCAGTGGTCCCAGCCCAGTTGGGCGAAGCTGACTGGGAAGGGGCGCAGGGAGCAGTCGCTCTTCTCCCCTCCCTGCTCCCTCAGGTAGCTGGGCAGGTCATGGGCCAGTGTCCCTGTGTCACGCCGGTGTCGGTGGGGCTCTGCCACTGGAGGTGCAAGCCCAGCCCGAGTATCGTTGAGGTAGAGGAGGAGGAAGGGGTGGCTGGGAGCCATGGGGGCATCGTGGCCCCTGGCCCGGCCAGCGTGCACACAGACATGCCGCAGCACCAGGCTCCCCACGCTGCTGTTCCCTGGCACAAGGTAAGGGGTGACATCTGCTTCAGCCCAGCCATGGCGGGGACGGGTGGCAGGGCTGAGCAGTGCCCCAGGTGTCTTGCTGGTGGCTGCCAACTCCAGGGCGCAGAGGAGGTGACCATGGACCAGT